TGGAAAATTTAAGGAGTTATTATTATGTACGTTTAGATGATACAACCGGTAGGATACTTTTGCACGTTACTGTATGAAACGCCAATTTCTAGACAAATATTCCAATATACAGGGAAGCATAATCCAACGAGCATAGACTTATTAACATCTGCAAGGCGTCATGTTAAACTCTTTATACTCTTGCCTAGTTACACATATAAACCTGGGCTTTATATGGTGACGCAGTTATATACAAGAACATTACGTAAATTAAAAACAGGTATGTAATGTACAGTGCCCTCCAATAAATGCAGAAATGGGTGAGTAAAACAAATGAAAATCTCTTGTTTTAAAAATATCTCCTGTCATGTGTACTACGCAAACTACAATAGTTTTTTGTATGGGTCTGAAACTAATGATTGCGCGTTTTCAAAATAATAACGATAAAATTTTTACATACTATTATTATAAAGCTGTAACAAGTTGAAGCAGTAGTAGCTGTCTTTAAATTTCGATATAAAAATATGGTTATATATTTGTAGCACGTATACTCTCACTTTATCGAGCTACTTTATAACGGTAATATATATAATTTTGTTGTTATTTTAATTTCGAAACGCGCAATCAATTAGCTTCAGAACCATACAAAAACTATTGTAGTTTGCATAGTACACATGACAGGAGATATTTTTAAAACGAGAGATTTTCATTTGTTTTACAAGTAAAATTTTACTCATTTATTGGAGGGCACCGTACGCTATAGTAATGTATTGTTCTTGTATATAACTGCGTCACCGTATGAATTCCAGGTTTATGTGTGTAACTAGGCAAGTCTGCTGAGCCCTGACGATTCTGTCAACCGAACGAGCATGACAAGCAAAAATGTTTTCAATCAGCTGTGGTAATTATTTAATTTGCACTAAATATAGCGATTAATGCATAATTAATATAAACTAATTGGAAATTAAAGACATTAAACATAACGTTTATTTAACTTGTTTTTAATTCAAAACACTTTCGGTGATGTCTGATGAAAGTATGGTGAGTAACAACATAATGCTGTATGTGGATGTTGGTTTATGGTCTCCGTTTTTGCCTTTCTGATTCAACCTTCCGTTCTTCATTGGAGCAGATGACATAATGGCATGGCTGATATGTGTTTATCGGAAGACATACTGTATAAAAGATATTTGCCAAAAATCACTCATGTTTGCAGCACAGTTGTCTTATCGTTAAAAATGAAGTGTGTTATTAGCATAATGCAAATTGTCAAGAGAAATATGTTGACCGTGACGTTTACATATCGATAGTAGTGTCCTATGGGTGTGGCAGAAAAATTTAATTAATTATTTGTTTTGCTGCTTAAAAGTAGTAAAAGTACATTTTATATATTAATTAACTATTATCTACAACATTGCGTTTTAGACGGTTTAAGTTTGACCATCTGGGGGAAGAGGGTTCAATTTTTTGGTTAATAATAGATACAGCAATACTTCCTGTCGATATCCTCCTTATAACATTTTTCTTGCTTCTTGTAATTTTTCTGTCAGTGATGGTACGTTTAGAGACCTTTACGCACAGGTTTTATAACCGCAACGTTGGTCTGACCATAAATCATAGGAATGTAGCAGATCAGATCGAGTATAGAAATCATCGCAGCATGGTAGATGTTGGCATTCCTGGGAATCAAACCGTAGCGTTTTTCTGAGCGTCGTTGATTGAGTTAGTAAAGTCTGCCTGCGGTGTGATCGAAATTGCATTGCGACTTACGGAAATCGTATTAATTCCAAATTCGATTATAAATCAATTGGCACTACAGAAAAGTCCGAAGACATGTCACAAATGCTTGCATTAGGTGAATGCACACGGTGAATCAGGGGTACACTTTAATTTTTTCTGTTTCGAAATAGCGACTAAAAAACATAATAGATATTTCTGAGAATGAAATTCGAGGAAGATCTTGCAATCTTCTGCGAAATAAATGAAAAGAGTGGAGACAGCAATAATAGATAAGAATGATCTCGTACTTTCCTGCATGATGCCAACTTTATAAGCGAAAAATTATTATTATCTTCATCAAGGCTAATGTAAAAAAAAACCCCCCCAAATAGGACAGCTAGCCTACAAAGTTAGGGAAGCAAAACAAATATGAAACAAATTATATTAATGTTAACTAACCTAATTTTTACGTAGTAAATGCTAAGTTCGATTCTGATTGCCAGCTAAAAAATTGGTTCGTTAGTTGTTTGTTAGTAACAAGTAGTTTTCGCTATAACTTTTACTAAGCACTAATTGTTAAATTTCCTCCCCTTCAACACCTCATCACCACGACTCTAACTCTAATTTTTGAAAGCATATTTGTAAAGTAAATTGGACTCGTATAGTATACTTACCAAGTACAATCGTCTGAGCGCTCATAAGAACAAACGTACAAGACAACCAAGGTAAAAGACAGAGTCTCAATCTTTATTCAAAAAACGTATACACGCATGATTATACCATAATTTATTGTCGAAAGACTATTTATTGTTCGAAAATTGCAACAATCCATGTAGAACGTGCTTATGAGAACAACCCTACAGAAGAAACTTCCAACAGCAGCTCCAGTAACATGGGGGATGAGATATCAAACACAATTATCATGAGGGATGTAACTTGCTATAGGCGCTCAGTGTTCGAAAATGTGCCAAGACTTCTTTTCGCTATTTTAAACATATAAATAACTGAAGCAGTGGACAGTTATAATTTTATCCATATGTGGAGACATAAATTGGGATCGGCGAAATCTTGGGTTGCACTATTCACTTTTGTCTTGCCCAATTTATTATTATTACCGGTTTGTAGAACTAGTTTCTCATAGAATCAAGTTTCACCAGTTCCCATACGTTTTCTTTTCCAAAGTTGTGTATATTAATATCAATCAATTCTTTCTTTTCTGTTTTGTTTTTCCCTATATACTGCTACTTTCTAATATCAAGTGCGTATAATATAGCAATAGATACAAACATTTCGCCAGCTTTGATGCCGTTAATCACACGCCCTATGGTTATAGCGCATTATAGTAAAGAATCTACGTTGCAGTTACCAGAGAGATAAAATGTACGTCAGTCACATCTACGAAAAGTTTTAAGGGGCTGGGAAACGTTTTATCAACAATATAGTCGCTGTATCAATTTGGATAAATTATTGTTATTAAAATTTTTAATTATATAATCTGTATACTCTTTACTAACTTTACACATCAAACGTGATCATGCTCATCAGGCTGTTATAAAAATAGAAATATGATAATAAGCACAAATATGTCTAATTATATAGGTGTTATGTAATTGGGATACAAGTGTAAAGAGGTGCAGTGTGGCTTTTCCAGTATGGCAGACACAAATGGGCGATAATCGCTATGAGAGTTCTGATTATAATAGTAATGCAATGCGTTAAATGGTAAAGCGATTCTCGCATTTGTAGTAGTACATTGGACAATGATATCGAGAACTCTTTCATAACTGCCTGTTTCATAACGCCCGCATCTAGACCGTGTCAAATAAAGTAGTTTGATATTATCGCTCTTTTCAAAATTCTGCGGTCACACATTTGGTCACAACTTTTTTTTTGTTGCGAAAACAGCGATTTTTAACATGAAAACAGGTTGAAACTTCTGCTCGCCAGTGATTACCGAAGAGTAGAAGATGCCTACTTAATACAACTTTCCCTCTTTATTTAGCGCAAGGCAAGAATGTTGGGTTGTTACACCAGCAATTATAACCAATTATGTTACACAGTTAACTAATTCTATTGGCTGGAATTGTTTTCGTTTCAAATTTTTTTGATGATGATTATACTATTTTGAGAAGTGCTAAATATAGTAATAGTAATAGCCTAAAAAAGAATCAACAATTCATCAAGTGATAGTTTTGGGGTCGTATACGCGTTTAGCTGGCTTTTACGTATCACCTGTACACAATATGGCTCGTTCATTTATACCAACGAGTGCATAGTAATAGTCTTAATGAATAGTATTAAGTAGACAAAGTATTAGCGATTAATTTTGTAGAATATAGAATTCGAATGTATTCTTTAAATCCTTAACGTCAGTATCCCCGTTAATTAATACGCTTAAACTCAAAGTATTACAACGTTAATTTTATCAATAGTACTTTTCAGTCATAACTCATTTTTGTATGTCAATTTACTATAATAAATTGTCAGATGGAAAGCATGCTTATGAACTACATGCCGATTATTAATCGTTCTACAGTTCGCATACCGCCGAATTTATTATATTACTGTTCTCTTTATTGTAAATATGTATATTAATCTGTTTCTATCACGTAACACGATATCTTATCAACAGCATCTTTTCTCACGCGTTCTGAATAAATCCTTCTGTGAACAACAACACCCGAGTATAAATATGATCGAACGACTGCGAGTTTTAAAAATTACCCCTGACTTGTAATATGGCGGTCAGAAGTAAATTTACAAATAAATTCGTTATTTTATTTATTCTCGCTGTTTATTTGGTCGGCTTAATATCTGCATCGCCGTAGGTTTTTTTGTCCTATGAAAATAATTACTCTTTTTTTGTTTACCGATAAAATTGAATTAATAACAACATATTTTACAGAGCAATACCATCAGAATCAGAACCACTATCTGAATGTTCTAACCAAAAATGTGAAGATCGATGCTGCGAACCCACCATAGAAGATAGATCAGTCATAGCTAGATGGCAAATGGACTGCGATGAGACATGCTGCACGTGTTGTAAAGATCCGTGCTGTAAAGATCCAGACGATCCATGCTGTAAAGATCCAAACGGTCCGTGCTGCAAAAAACCAAACAGTCCATGCTGTAAAGATCCAAACGGTCCGTGCTGCAAAAATCCAAACAGTCCGTGCTGTAAAGATCCAAAAGGTGCGTGCTGTAAAGATCCATCCGGTCCATGTTGTAAAGATCCATTCAGTCCGTGCTGCAAAAATCCGAACGGTCCGTGCTGTAAAAATCCAAACAGTCCATGCTGTAAAAATCCATCCGGTCCGTGCTGTAAAAATCCATCCAGTCCATGCTGCAAAAATCCAAACGGTCCGTGCTGCAAAAATCCGAACGGTCTATGCTGCAAAAATCCAAACAGTCCATGCTGTAAAGATCCATACGGTCCATGCTGCAAAAATCCAAACGGTCCGTGCTGCAAAAATCCAAACGGTCCGTGCTGCAAAAATCCAAACGGTCCGTGCTGTAAAGATCCATTCAGTCCATGTTGTAAAGATCCATACAGTTCTTGCTGTAAAGATCCATCCAATCCATGCTGTATAGATCCAAATGGTCCATGCTGTAAAGATCCATCCAGTCCGTGCTGTAAAGATCCATATGGTCAGTGTTGTAAAGATCCATCTGGTCAGTGTTGTAAAGATCCATCCAGTCCATCCTGTTTTAATTCTCCTACTACTCCTACTTCCACTTCCACTTCTTCCACTTCCACTTCTTCCACTCCCACTACTTCCACTCCCACTACTTCTACCCCCACTGCTTATACTTCCTCTCCCACTGCTTATACTTCCACTCCCACTACTTCCACTTCCACTTCTTCCACTTCCACTGCTTATACTTCCACTCCCACTACTTCCACTTCCACTACTTCCACTTCCACTTCTTCCACTCCCACTACACCCACTTCCACTTCTTCCACTCCCACTTCTTCCATCCCCACTACTTCCACTCCCACTACTTCTACTTCCACTTCCACTTCCGATTCCCCGATCGTTTCTTCTACTAATACTAAGGCAAAAATGGAGATATGGAAGAAAATTTTGACCATAGTTGTCTCAGTTATTATTGGCATCCATTAGTAATAGATCTAGGATAACTAATCCGAGAATCATATTCGGCTTATACCTTTATTGGTTTCGATTGCGATTATTTGATGTTACGTGTACGTGTTTCTTTTTTCTTGCTGTTCAATTATCCACTACATCTTTTTTATCAAATCAATAAAATTGATTATATATTAATATCAAACAAGACATAATTCGACTTATCAATAAGACAGTATGTTGATATATTTTTTATTGTATTACGTGTCAAGAGCATGCATCTGAAACGGTAACTGTAGAGAACGATGTTTTACATTCAGTGATGTCGTATAAATGAATCTAATGGTAAATTAGCATATGCCTATTAATCGACCATAACAAACAAGAAACCTCTTAATTCTTGAGAACGTATCTTGATGCCAGTAGAAGATTAAGCAACTGTTCTTTCTATGGCATGGTTAGAAGCCTTGGGAAATAATTATTCATTTGTTACAAACCCCAAGATTGTTCAACATACATATGTAAAAAGAAATATCATCGATTGTACTCACTATTTCACTTTAACCGATAGAAGTTCGACAAGGCCACTCAGTGCATAATACGTTCAAGACAATTTTCATTGCATGCTATAGTGTCAATCTGATGTACGCGTCTTCCTTTTTTGATAAACCACGGTTCACGTTTGATGCGTATAGCTAATACGTTCCATTAAGGCTCTGCTAGTTTTACAAGATTATACGAAAGATATGCAAATAGAAATATTCTCATATGCAGGGAACCAAATAAACGGTCGAGAATACAATAAAATAGTTTCCCGAAAGTATACTTAACAAGCGCTACAAAATTCAACGGATGGTTATTGCAAAGTTATTAAATTTAACTGGAAGTTTAAATTGTGCCTACCCGGCTTCGTCGCGCAGGCAGTATTATATACATTTTTATATGTTTATTATGGTAATATAGTAGTCTAATTTTACTATATTAATATCTGTCATTCGCATTACAATTATCTTAATACGTGAGCAGTGTTCGTGTTGATCCTTCTCCGAGAGTGTACACAGTAGTGGATGGAAAGTTTGGTAAATAACATTTGCATCATAAGAGATCCATTTCGCTTTAGTAGGATATAGTAATCTTGCACAGAATGCACAAGGCAAGCATATGTGTGTGTAGGCTACGTACGCAAACGTTAAGGTCGCCATGGAGGGATTGTAACGACAGGCGAACCAATCGTACAAGTATACCCAATAGTTGAGGAATTGGCAACAGGTGTTGAAGTGACGTTCGACATCAGTTGGGAAAATGCATCTGTGTTTGAGGTTATTTATGACATGTTCAATGATTGTGTTATAATTCGAGATTGTTTGTTAATGTGTCGTTCTGGTAAGTGATATGGTTGAAATCGATGTGTAGTGTCTTGAATTTGTATTGTGACATACTCGCAAGGTTAAAACTGTCCGATTGAGTTTTTTGAGGGAAAGGTATTATAGAATTATGAATGACAGATATGTATCAGGTATGTTAACGAAAAATAAAAATTTTACTGTCTATGAATATTCCAAAAACATTCTGCATTTATGTACGGCTATTTTCGTAGTGCGTGTTATTAATGCGTAAATACTGTATACGGAAAATTAGAAAATTTTTCCGCAGTTAGCGTACAAACAACACTCGGCGATAATATCAACATACCATTGGTTCTGATGCAGATGAATGATCTACTACCAGAACGAAATCCTGTTTAGCAATATTGGACTTTATTCATTAAAGAAATAAGAAATGATTTAACTCATAGACAAAAAAAGTATATAAAATATGCGTCTTTTTTTAACAATATTGTAATATACTAATTAATACATACCAGTAAAATGGTAATAAACTTTTACTTATTTTGTTTCTGTTTCTTATTCGTGTTGTTTCTAGTTGTACGTCTTTTTCTTGTATTATTTGATTGTTCAATGACAATATCATCATCATTGTCACTGATAACAACTTCTTCATTATTTGTGTTAATGCGAGTGTCTATTTCGGTAATGCTATCATTTTCTGAAGATTGATTTTCGCTAATTTTTGTGTTGTTTGTTTCGGCGCACTGTTCAGTGTGTTGCAAAGAGATGGTTCTTGGCGAAGTTGTGCAATTCTTTGTTCTATGTCTGATTTTCCGGTATAGTGCGTCACTTTTGACTTTGGTGGATATTCTAACAACTCGCAATATAATTGCTTTTCAAAAAAAAAAAAAAAAAAAAAAAAAAAAAAAAAAAAAAAAAAAAAAAAAAAAAAAAAAAAAAAAAAAAAAAAAAAAATTTCCAGTCACATGAACCAATAAATTTCTTTTTGCTTTTACGATGCCGTTCTTTAAGCGGCCATTAAGTGGGTGAGTCAACATTATTGTATACGGCTGGGCTGGAATTGATCTTTTGTCAAATATGGTTTTACTTGTATCGGTAGTGTGTAACCCGTTTGTGTGAGATTAGCATTATTCGTAGTTAAGCGTGCGACTGGTTTCGAAATGAGAATATAATCTTCGTCTATGTATAATCGAATGCTCGTCGTTATTAACGTTAAAAGAATTATCTTTAAGTGGCGTAAATTTCCCCGAGATTTGATACACTCCGTTCTCTTGAAGTTGCTGTGTGAATTCAGGTGATGTATTGTCTCCCTCTATTAGATTGTTTTCGGACGTGCAGGTGGTAAATGTAAAGCTGATATCCGTCTTCCGCATTGATTCTTGAGATAGCGGAGCCTTTTTGAACGGTTTTGTTGTTATAAGTTTTGTCCGCAATAGAAACTATGTACATAATAGCTGTGAGAGTTGCAATCATTTTGTTCAGTAATCAGTAATACTGTAATAATGGGTTGTTGGATAATAGATAGCAAAGAAGCTTTAAGATGGGAATAATCGCAGTTGTTCTTTATTTATAACTTTGAGGTAGTATTTGAGTTAATAATAAAACTATAATTTCATACTTTTACTTTCTCTTCATTGGTGTCTTTCTTATAAACTGACAAATTTACTATTAGAAGTGAAGGAGTGGGCTTGATTCGAATTGTGTGTCGTGCGCTTATGATTTGGCGAAGAATAGGCGTATGGAAACCGTTCTTGAACAATCGTTGCTTACAAGATAACACGAATGTCACAGTATAATGGTGAGATAATTGGAAGCTAAGATTTTTCAAATTTAGCGTTAAATAACAAATCAGTATGCGGTGGTTTTATTGGTGACTCGTTTCGAAAGGTTCGCGCACACTATTTCCGAACAGTTAGTGTGTGCGGCAGACGCCGTTTTTGAACAATTGACGCTTGGAAGATAGCACACGGCCGCCATAATAATAATTGCTGCGTGTGGTGAAATAATTGGAAGCTAAATTTAGTGTTAAATGTACTATTGGTGAAGTGTTTCCGCACGCTTTTTCCGAATAGTTGATGTATATGTCGTATGTAAATCCCGTCACTATGTAAATCCCCTAAAAACCGCATTTACATATTAATATGTAAATCCGAGATTTACATAGTGACGGGATTTACATACAACATATACAGTACAACGGAACAAATATTGTATGCACGTACCAATACATTTTAGATCTAGTGTTAAATAACAAATCAAAGCCCGGTTTCTTATTGGTGATTGCAGTTGGTTGGGGAGGAGTCAATTCTTCTTTTGGTTACAAATACAGCTAGTTGCTTTGTTTAGTGCCAAGCCGAAAAATCAATGTCTGATTTATTACCGTTTTGGACTTGCATTGAAACAAATTTTTGCGAGCCTATGTGTAAAACTAGCCGTAGAGTATTTAAATTGATCGACACACGGCTGTAATTAAATGTACGTGTATTGTGCCGGACAAAAGCCATTGTCGTTGTCGTTTGCTGCCAAAAGCAAAATTTTTTACGGAACACACATAAATGACCTCCGTCCCTTAACTTCAATTGAAATTGAAATTGAATATTGAATATTGAAGTAAAAATAAACGCTTATTCGTTGCATGGTGTTAACTAAATACGTCGTTCTTAATACATGGTCCCTGTGGTGGGTGGCTCCATGGAGAAAGATTTAACGTTTAATTCTTTGTGTTGTAAATTTGGGAATAAAATTTTTCAATGTATCTAACTGATGGACTTGGCACCAAATTTATGATAAGGCATTTCAGGAATATAGTATAGCTCTTTAGAAACAACACCACCACTCCATATTTACTATCTACATCCGCAGCAAAACAATTTAAAAAACCAAAGACTTCGATAAATCAACAAATTAAACATTTCTCAAACACGAAAATAAACCTGAATGTGCAATTAGTTTAAAGAATCTTATTATCTGATATTAATTAAAAAGACCCCCTATAAAATAAAATAAAATAAATCTCCAATCATGGATATACGGGTCACCAGACTGTATTATAATTACTGTAACCCCCAAAAATGTATTCTAATTTCTCAGGATCGTTAGAAGCTTAGTCTACAACTTCAAGCAAATATCCTGAAGATGTTTTTAGCGAAGGCGGGTAGTATGTATCCGTTATGGAATATGTAGAACTCGACGGTCGAACGTTTTACCTAAGGAAAAAATTTTGTCACATTAAACAAACTCTTAAACCAAATAATTAATGCAAAATAATCCTCTCTTTTTTAATCATATACGTTAAACCAAATTATTAAACATGTAAAACCCGTAAAGAATGGAAGCTTGCTTTTACAGAACATAGAACGTATACCTATAACTATATTTAATTACATCATGGGACTGAACGTTTGGAGAAAAGTCTCACATGCGAAGCCTATTATGAATCAAAATTTTCATTATCCGCAGCATGGTTGTTATTGGGAAAATGGCGTTGCTAAATATTTAGAACAAAATATTATTATTGACATCACACAGTAATAATAACATACAGTATATTTAAAACTTCAGAAACACGTTTGAAGAACTGAAAGTCTACCAAAAATGATTATGCAGGTTCACTTGAGGAGAGCAGTAACGCTATTTCTCATTCTATTAATGGAAAAGAATGGTCTGCCCAAAGCTTAATATGGTTTTCTGTCAACTCTTTGAAACCTAATATCAACCT